TTCAAGTTTCCTTTTGGTATAATCCTCTTTCAGTATTTTAAAAAATGTGCTGCTTTCTTCTGGCCTCAGTGATTTGATGAGAAAATGGGAAGTGTACACGTATTCAAATTATCCTCTTTAGGTGATATATTATTTTTCTCTGGCTGCTTTTAGGATTATTATTATTTTTCTTTTGTCTTTAGTTTTCAGCAGATGTCGCTATATGTGAATTTATTTGGGGCTTTCCTGTGTAGGGTTGGGTGAACTACTTGAATCTGTAAGTTTGTCTTTCACCAAACATAAGTTTTCAGCCATTTTTTCTGAAAATATTTTTCAGCACTACATTCTCTTCTCTGCTTCTTTTTACACCCTTTCCCCCCTTTCTGTTAGAACTTTTGTTGTATTTTTTAATTCTACATTTTCCCTTAGGCTCTTCTTTATATCTTTTCTTTGCTGAGATTTTCTGTTTCTCCATTCATGTTAAAAGTTTTCATGATTGTTTGTTGGAGCATTTTTATAATATCTGTTTTAAAGTATTTGTCAAATAATTCTAACATCTGTGTCATTAAGTGTTGCCATCTGTTGATGATTTTTTTCCATTGTGAATTGGAAAAAATCATTAATAGCTACCTGGTTCTTCGTATACCATGTAATTTTGGATTGTATCCTCGACATTTTGAATATTATGACATGCTTGAGTTTTGTTTAGCTCCTATGGAGAACATTGATTGATATTTTTCTTTTCATGGGCAATCTGGTTAGGTTAATGCTGCAAGTTTCAAGCCCCCTTTTGTGGGCAGTGGTCCAGTGTCAGTTTAGTTTTCCAAACTTCTATCTGCTGTGTTATTCTATCTGTCCCTTGTGTGTACCACTCAGTGGCTAGTCTGGGACCTGGACAGTGACCTATCTGTCAGTTCAGTTCTCATAGTCTTTGACATGCTGATTAGGATAAGATCCACACTTATGCACTTATGGAGTCACTTTCCTGAGCTCTTTCTGGTCTGTAGTCTTCGCTTTTCAGTCCTCTAGCCACAAAGCTGGGCTTTAGATACCGTGTACTTCCACCACTCGAATCCCTGGTTTTGGCAAATGGTTAAAACGCTTGACTACTATTCAAAAGGTCAGTGGTTCAAACCCACCAAGAGCCTCTCTGGGAGACAGGCCTAGTGATCTGCTTTTGAAATGCCACAGTCTTGAAAACCCTATGGAGCAGTTTTCTGCACAGGTAGGGTGGCTGTGAGTCAGAATCGACTCCGCAGCAACTTAATAACTTCCACCACTACTCACAAGTCTAGGAAAAAAGGGCTTAACATCCTTGTGTCCCATTCCTTGTTGGGAAAATGTGGATAAAAATAGTACAGTGACACAATGAGCTTGATAAATCTTAGCTAATATATTATTTTTTATTAAATTCTTAGCTTCTCAGAACTGTTACTACACATTCTGTTTTCTCAGATTTTAAAGCTGTTTTCATGCAGGGTGATGTTTATATGAGAAAGGCAAATCATACCCCGGGTATTGTCTGAATGGTTGATGAAACCAATATTTGGTCCTTGTGAGTAACTTTAATTTCTGCTATCTTTAATTATAACAACCAGCTCCAGATTCCAGGATAAATAGTGAGGGTGTTGACATTACTTGTTCCAGTTAGTGAATAGATCATAATGGAGAACAGAAATGGAACAAATAATCTATGCTGTAATCAGCTTACATTTTAGCTAGAGAGACAATAAAATTAGACATCAATCAATTAGAAAGCAATTACAAAGTAGTACTAGTGTGTCACAGATACAGAGTGACCATACCTCATGTTTTGCCTAGGATCCCTCACTGCCGTCGAGTCGGATCCGACTCATAGTGACCCTTTCTGGTATCACCACAGAAGTAGATTGCCCAACCTTTGCTTAGGATAGTCCTAGTTTATTCTGTTTTGTTTTTTGCTTGTTTGGGGTGTGTGCATGTGTTTGGTGTAATTTTAAATAGAGTCTCATTTCACAAAGGTGTGCTGGTTAGGATGACAAATTCTGTGGCCACTTTATGGATACTACCTAGTTTCACAGGATGAAAAAGAAAGAAAATAATCACCTCGTCTTCAGGAAGTTTCCTAGACCTGCTTTAGGCCTGGAAGTGGAAATGAGCAGAGTGGGACTTCTGACAGCTGCAGGTTAATTGAACAGGTCCCACATACTAAGCAATGGAAAAGACTTAGAATTTTGAATAGAAACCACAGTTATCTAGTAATAGGTGGGATCACAATTGTAATGAAATAGGTAAGAGGTTATGTAACCTTGGATTATAATGGTTTTGCTCTTCTACAAGTTCTTGCATTTTATTTTTTTTTTAAGGAGATTACCCAAAAGATAGTGTTAAAAAATTACAATGTGGAATGCGTTGACATCTATATTGTCAATAATATATTTTCGTTTCACAATTGGAGGATTCTAGAGAAATATGGTTACTTTTTTTTGCCTTTTTTCCCCCTCTTACTTCACTGAAAATTAAAATATTAACATTCACCATGTGAACACAGATTATTTCAACACTGCTGAAATTCCATGATAATTATTCAGCTGTTTTTGGTGTCCAGGATAAGTGAGACAATGACTTTCTTGAGGCTAAAAATAGAATCCTATGCATTCCAAGACAAAAACACTCAACAAAGTACAAACTGACCTTGAATTTGGTTTGCATATAGATAGTTCCCTGATTGTTCTCTGGGCACTTTTGTTTTTGATCTACAGGGCCTTAGAAGAGTCAACCTTAGTCATTAGTGATAATGGGCCATAGTGTTGTTGCTGTTATCTGCCAAATCAGACAGACGCATAGGGACCCCTCCTTGGGTTTTTGAGGGGGTGTCACTGTGGAAGTAGATTGTCCAACCTTCCTTCTGAGGAATGGCTGGTGGGTTTGAACCTCCAGCCTTCTGGTTAGCAGTCAAGTGCCTTAGGTACCAGTTGGAAAAATAAAGAACTCTGGCCACGAAGTCACTGTTTTCTACCAAAATAATAGTTTCCTCTGTGGTCCCTCAGTCACAAGAATTGTTTGTTGAGAAGTGTGCCCATGTCTTTATACTTCAAAGTGACTCATGAGCTGGCTATACATACGAATACCCACAAGTTAGAGATTCCATTAAAAAATATGGTCACTGTAGCTTTTATTGCTAGCTAAATGCTCACATGCTGTCTTTATGGAGAAGAAGCTGGATAGACTTAGTTGAGTTCATTTGAAGAAATTTCCTAGCTGATTCTAACAATTTTAAACTTATTTAATCCTCATGAAAAATCCTCCGAAGTTCACAAACTATTCTTCATACATTTTATAAAGGATGAAATCAAGGCAAAGAAATTCACTTCCACCAAAAAATGCATAGATGTTCATCTTATCTGTGATGGCATCACTCATTGCTCAAACCCAAAACACAAGACATCAAATCTGATTTTTCCTTCTCCTTCCACACCACATCAATTCATTATCAAGTCCTTTCTATTCTCCCTTCCAAATATATTCAGAAATTGACTACTTATCATCTCTCTTGCTTCAATTCTAGGTCAAGTGTTGAATAAATGAGTGTATTCAGGGCTGGTAGGGGCAGAAGGAGATTGAACAATTAGAAATCCTGGTGCCAGGAATGTGTAGGAAAGAAGGACACAGGGAAGAGGTAACCACAGGGAAGAACTGGGAATTCAGTTGTTACATTGTGGGGAATTTCAGTTAATGCCATGAAACAAAATGTGGCCTTAGTCTCTCAATGTCTGTAAGGACCTGAACTTTCTAGTTAGGGGAGATGAAATATACACAAGAGAAAAACCCAAACACTTCAAAGGCAATAGAGATGTAAGCCAGTAATGGACAGGAATTAGGAGCAGAACAATTTAGAATATTGGAAAGAGATTTTTTGGTTGGTTCAGTGTAGGAAGTAAGTCTTAAAAGGCAGATGAGAACGGGAATTACCGGGTGGAAGGGGAACATTCAAAATTTTTTATTAGTCAACATTCAAATATTAGACTGATAAATGAAACATTTAGGTGTTCTATTTATTGGCACTGATCGAGCACCTAGAGCAAATGGCTGGATTCTTGGCCACAGCTATCCAGCCCCTGATAAACTGCATATTTTTCGTTATACTTTCTATACAAAACTATACCTTCTTTCATTGTGCTAAAGCCTTTTTTATTTTTATTGCCGTATTAGCCAAGTCGTTACAAACAATATGTCTACAAATATGCCATATTCTCATAAGGCTGTCGTGAGTATTAAATGTTATAACACATATTAAGTGCTTAGTTAGGACTGACTGTGCTGGCCGTTCATTATATCAATAACAATTATTACTATCCTCAGAAGAGAAACGTAATTCTGACGAATGACACCCGCGAGATTTCTATCCTCAAAGAAAAGGAAGATGGAAACTGAGAAGCATCAGAAGAATCAGGTGTGGTTCACAACTCCAGCTCAAATCGACAAGATTACGGGGCGCGCCCCTTACTCAGATAAACCCCTCCTTGGCTTCAGGGATGCCCACAAGGTCCAACCAGCCTAGGCTCCCGGAAGGTAAACAACAACAACAAAAAAAAGGCGGGGCAGAAGGCGGGTTCGGGATGAGTGGCCAGCTAAAAGTGATTGGCAGCTGCCATGTCCACGTGCTTTGAGCTTCGAACCAGCTGTCGCGAGAATCCGATGTAAACAGAGCAGACCTCCTATCCTCTAGCTGCCAATCTGAGACGCTCGGTTAGGAGTCTGGGGCACGTTGATTTTTTTTGAAAAACCCACGAAGGTTGCCGTCCTCAAAAAGAAAAATAGCATGTTTCTAACTCCTTCCCACTTGCCTGCGATCACAACCGAACCTGACAGCTCGGCTTCACCCGAACTTACATACTGTTGTGTTTTCCTCCCACACCGAGTGGATTGGATCAATTCAAGAGGCGGGTCTGCCTCTTTTCTACTTGCTGGTTGGCGAAGCTGACCTCCAAGGGCGGTGCCCGGCATTAGACAGTTTGCTCCTGGGATTGGCTACAAAGGTAGTTCCGCTGAGGCGTGGTAGGAAGTGGTAGCCGTCAATCACAGAGGGGAGACTCCAAACACTGAGCCTTGAGCTGGAGAACAGCGTTTACCGGCGGGCGGCCGGTGAGAGGGGTGGTGGGGCTCTGGCTTAGGGGAGGCTTGGAGAGGACAAGGGGCAGTCAGCGTGAGGGGAGAGGGTTTGGTTGGCAGGAATTCGATGGGGGAGAGGTGTCGAGATTGGAAGGGAAGGGGGAAGGGCAAGGGGCCAGAGGGCGGCCGGGGGCAGCGGTGGCTCTGCGGTGGAGGTTAAGTGGGTAATGTTGTGCAAGTGTCTTTTAGGAAAGTCGGGCCTGATGGGCTGGAGAGGGTCGTTCTCAGGGGACAGGACCTTTAAAGGACGAGGTTTGGGAGACTGATTCGGGGAAGAAAGGGTGGAATGAAAATGAGAGGACTGAGCGACTGACGGCGAAGGTACCTACAGAAGAAGGGTTAGCTGGGCTGTTGTTGTTAGGTGCCCTCCAGTGGGTTCCGACTCACAGACTGAAACCTCGCCCGGTCCTGCGCCATCCTCACTATCCTTGCTATATTTGAGCCCATTGTTGCAGCCACTTTGTCAGTCCATCTCACTGAGGGTCTTCCTTTACTTTTCCAAGCATGATGTCCTCCAGTGACTGATTCCTCCTGATAACATGTCCAAACTAAGGAACACTCTGGCTGTGCTTCCAAGTCAGATTTGCTCCTTCTTTTGACAGTCCATGATATATTCAATATTCTTCCCTAACACCATCATTCAAATGCATCAGTTCTTCAATCTTCCTTACTAACTACTTAGGTCTTTCTTTCTTACTTAACTAGCTGGGGTAGTTAAGGCATAAGGTGTTTTGGTTGTAGAAGGTGGAGTTCACCAGTTTGGGAATTTTCAAATGCGATGATAGAATACTTCCTACTTGGAAATGATGGTTTTAGGGGCTTTCAAGATTAGTTCCAGACTGGGCTTTCCTGAGCCCTGTAAAAGATTTTTAATATTGCTGTCAATCCTCCTTTCACCTTAACAAAGTAGACTCTCAATGCTTTTTAATACTTCTCAGTGATTCAGATGCTCAGGAGACATTCAGGGATCAGGATTTAGTGTTAGGATGGGAAGGGATGAAGGACTTCTAACATACAACTTTTTAATTTAGACTCTAGTGATGGGGTTATAATCGCAGAGAGCTAAAAATATTTTAAAATAATCTTACTTGATTACTCGTTGTGCAGTTTTGCTCTTGGATTACCAACAGATTTAGTTGGAAGGTAGAGTATTACTACTGGTTCTTGAAATACTGCACCATGTCTGTTTCACTATCTCGACCTACAATTTCAGTAAATTCTTTCTTTTGGCTCAAAAAGGTAGCACATTTGTTTTCATATGTGATCCTGTGCAACAATTCCCATTACATGATTTCTAGTTTATATTAACAATAAAGGGATCATCAAGAATCTTAAATGGTTTCATGATTCTGAGACCTGGTGCTATATTAAAACCTCGGGGTAATGTGCGAGAAAATTTTATCCACCCCCATCCCCCCAATGGGTGTAATAGGAATTGCTGGGAAAGTTAGCTATATTTAGGCATTCTTTGAGAATGCATCTCTCAAAGTGAGCAGATAGGAGCCTTTTTTCACACCCAAAATGATATGTTCTTAATCTTTTCTTCTGTAACAGGTTTTATGAATGAAGCTATGGCTACAGATTCCCCTAGAAGACCCAGTCGTTGTACTGGGGGAGTTGTGGTTCGCCCCCAGGCTGTCACGTAAGCCCATTTCAGATAATCCCAGTAGCTGAAGGAATGATTGCTCAGAATGCCAATATTCAAGTTTCCTTTCTCATTTCTCAACTGCTTAATTTTGTTAGGTTTTTTTTTCTTTTTTTTTTTGGTATATGTGCTGCTAAAGTAAGCATATTTTGTAAGATCTTTTAAATTTTGGCTTTACCAGGTGAGCAAATATTGATGCTGAGGCTAAATTAGAGGAATAATTGGAGGGACAAGTTGTATTTTACACATTGATAGAATGCATGAAACCACTTTGCTAAATCCTAAAGAAGAGTTGTTTTCAAAATCTGTGTTTAATGAAAAAGTGAGTCATTATATCAATTTACTGTGTCAGGATCCATATTAAAAAATGAAATCAAATATAGTAGAAGTTATAGTTGTTTTGTGACACATATGTATATGTATATGTTTATTAAGGAGCTCGGTGGTGTAGGGGGTAAGACATTTGACAGCAGTTCAAGCCCATCAGCTGCTCCACAGGAGGAAGATGAGTCACTCTACTCCTGTAAAGATGTACAGCCTTGAAAACCCAATAGGAGTTGCTATGAGTCAGGACAGATTGGATGGCAGTGGGTTTTACATGTTTACCAAATTATGACGTAGAGTATAATTGTTTCTTACTCTAGGTCCCAGGCATAAAGCCCATAGAGAGTATATTTTTGTAGTTGAGGCATTTGACAAAGTGTATCTACATCTTTCTAGGAACTTATAATATAATGTGGTCTTAAGATAATATACGTTTGAAATCACTATAATCAGTAAAAATAAACATGCCAGTAAAACAGTATGAGAATTTAGAAGGGAGTATCTGAAAAAGTTCTATTTCTGTTGTATCTTTAAAGGCTGAATAGAATTTGGGCACTTTGAATCAAGGTTATATTAAAGGCTAAGAGAGTAAAGTGAATAGGGGTGGAAAAGGCAGGGCATTTTCATAAATAAAATGAAGCCGTCATAACGAGAAGTTGGCTTACTCAAGGTAGGTTGGACTAGACAATGGAGACCTTAAGTAAGAAGATGGGACTTGGTTTATGCCTTTTAAAATGCTCTTAGGAGAATTACAGCATTTTGGTTTATTTCCCTTAGGTAGTTTAGCATTTTACATAAAGATTGCCTTCTCAGACCATATGCATAATATACTTACCACAGTAATACTTCCTTTTTTCCTCCTCCTTTTGCCAGGACTGTATTTCTTTGGTAACTGAAATGTGTAACATGTTAAGCATATTATTAGCTATGAGTTAGATACTATTTTGATCTTCATTTTAGAGATGAGGAAACCATAGCAGAGAAGAAGTTGTCCTTGGTCACATAATCAAGAAATGTAGCTGGTATCAAACCCAGGGAATTTGCCTCCAGAGTCCATGCTCTTAACCACTGTTCTATGCTACCTCACCCTATGATATCCAGAATGTATTGCTTTTGGTTATGCAGTGCATAATTTTAGTGTTTTCTTTGATCTTTTATTCATTCAGTATTTTTAAAATAAATAATTTTGGAGCCATCTACACCATGAACAAGTGTATTGGCTTATAGATTCTGGAGATACAAAGTACATGGGAGAGATGGGTTCCCTCCTGTAATGGAGTTACATTCTAGTGGAGGAAGCAGTAAACAAGTAAGTATATAAAATAATTATAGGTCATGATCAATGCATAGTGTGCCATAGTAGAGAATGACAAGGAGAGCTTAGCTTACTTAAGGCATTCAGGGAAGGCCTCTCTGAGGAGGTAACACTTAAGCTGGAGATCCAAAAGGAAGGAAAGGGTATGGTCTAAAGTCTTGATTCAAAGAAGAGCTTGGTACATTCCAGGAACTGAAGTTGCATGTAACTGAAACAGTAAAGAGAGTGGCAGAAAAAAATGAGGTTGGAGAGATAGGCCTATCTCTCCATTTTTTTTTTTTTTTGTAGGTCTCTGAGGCATGTTGCTCATTTTACCGACTTTAGGATAACTCACATTAATTTCTCCAGATGTACTTTTGTTCAGATGTACTTTTTTACATCTGTCTGAAATGAATTTGATTTGGTATTTTGAAGAAATTGTTTTTCTCCACTTGCTGATATTTGTATACTTTAAAATATCTCAATTTTAGTGTCCTTTACAGTGTTTCTCCTTCACTTTTTAAGAAATATTTTTCCCTTCCTTGTTTATGCCAAATGTTCTACAAGGACTTTATAATAACTTGTTCTAATGCCTGTACCTGAAGTAAAATACAAGTCAAGGACTAGGTTCATAACCAATTTAAAGGGAAGATCACTAAATACTGAGTCATGTGCAATAGTTTATCTTGCTCTAACCAGGACATTTTTCTGCTCTGACTTAAGAGCCTGCCTTAGCCTGGTCTTCTGTCATTACTCCTTCCCTATAAACTAGAAGTTATCTCTATCAAATTAGGAGAACATGGCTTTTAAGAAGAGATTAAGTTAAAAAAATGTTAAAAGGCCATTTGCAATTATTAACATCACAAAGGGCCCTGTAACTGGAAAGCAGATAAGTGGAATTATCAGGTGGTAAGAGTTGGCCTATTTATTGTTGTTTGAATATAAGATAAGTAGGGTTGGGCAATCAACTTCCATAGTGATAACTATGATAGTTTGGTTTGGTTTGGAGGGCTCTGGTAGCATAGTGCCTAAGGCATTTGACTGTTAATGAGAGGGCTGATGGTTCAAACCCACCAGCCGCTCCTCCTCTGAAGGAAGGTTGGGCGATCGACTTCTATAGAGATACTCAGAAACCCAAGGAGGGGTTGCTGTGAGTTGGATTTGACTTGATGGCAGTGAGTTTGGTTTTAGGGCTTATGGATAGAGCTTTTCCGTGTTCTGTTTTGTTTTAAGCTGTCATGATCATTTTTCTCCATCTTATCTTTTTCCAGAGAGCAGTCCTACATGGAAAGTGTTGTGACTTTTCTACAGGATGTTGTGCCACAGGTAAGTGTCTGTGTGTGGTTTACCACATATAGGTTTTACCTTTGGCCAGGGGAACTCTGAAATGGCCTGTTTCTAAACTTGACACTAGTATTACCAATTTCAGAAAGGCTTTTGATGTTTTGGCATAGGGTGGAACTACACTTGTTAATGTGTACCTGTGCCTTGGTTTTGTGCTGACAATGGCATAACTAATATTCCTCAGGACTTGCTCCTCTCCTAAGAGGAATTAAGGTGAGGTATTAGTTGAGAGATGGGACTTGGGATTCTCTTGTTGTTAGGTGCTATTGTAGACCCCGTTGTCTGCAGGGTTTTCTTTGCTGTAACCTTTATGGGAGCAGATCGCCAGGTCTTTCTCCTGCAGAGCTGCTTGGTGGGTTCAAACCACCAGTCTTTTTAGTTAGCAGCCAAGTGCTGAACCGTTGCATCACCAGGGTTTAAAATCAGGAATGGAGTGCATCAGGGTTGTATCCTTTCACCATACTTACTCAATCTGTGTGCTGAGCAAATAATCTGAGAAGCTGGACTATATGAAGAAGAACGTGGCATGAGGATTAGAGGAAGGCTCATTAACAACCTGTGGTAGGCTGATGACACAACTTTGCATGGTGAAAATGAGGATGACTTGAGGCACTTACTGATGAAGATTGAAGAATACAGTCTGCAGTAAATTACATTTCAATATAAAGAAGACAAAAGTCCTCACAACTGGACCTATAAGCAGCATCATGATAAATGGAGAAAAGATTGAGGTTGTCAAAGAATTCACATTGCTTGGTTCTATAATCTACACCAGTGGAAGCAGCAGTCAAGACATCAGATGACGTATAGCGCTGGGCAGGAAAGGAACTCTTTCAAGTGCTGAGGAGCAAAGATGTCTCCTTGGGGACTAAAGTGCACCTGACACAAGCCATGATATTTTCAATCGTCTCATATGCATGTGAGAGCTGGACAATGAATAAGGAAGACTGAAGAAGAGTTGATGCTTTTGAGTGTGGTGCTGGCAGAGAATGCTGAAAGTACCATGGACTGCTAAAAGAACTAACAGATCTGTCCTGGAGGAAGTGCAGCTGGAATGCTCCTTGGAAGCAAGAATGGCCAGACTTCATCTCACCTACTTTGGTCATGTTGTCAGAAAGGACCATTCCCTGGAGAAGAATGTCATGCTTGGTAAGGCGGAGGGTTGACAAAAGAGAGGAAGGCCTTCAACAAGATGGATTGACATGGTGGCTGCGACGATGGGCTCAAGTATGGCAAGAATCATATAGCTGGTGTGGAATCAGGTGGTGGTTTGTTCTGCTGTGCATAGGGTTGCCATGAGTTGGAAATGACTTGATGGCACCTAACAACAACAACATATAGTCTTTCCTGGTGGTGGAAATTAAGGCTATTATGTATTGAAATTTAATTTCTTCCCTTTGAAATACACTAAAATTGCATATGCGTGTGTACTTAATATTCTCAGTACCATGAAGCATTTTTGCCTTGAGTTGGTAAGCTTTTGATCAAGTGAGTAAAGATTTGAGTGCATAGCCTCCAGAGAGTAAGGCTTTTACTATTCCATTCTATGAATGTGAGAGTAAAGAATGACAGCAGCCCTACGGAATCATACTTACTTCACTGTTGCCTCAACTTAACATAAGTATGACTTGGCACCCTTGTTAAAAAAAATAATCATTTTCAGGGCCCTCCCGTGGGGAATCTGTCTCAGTAGGTTGGAGATGGCATCCAGTGACTTGTGTCTATAGTCAGAGTCTCAGGTGATTCTAGTGAAGTGGAATCTTTGAGAAATACTGTTCTAGTGGAATTCCTTAAGGGAGAGGTTTCTGTATTTTCTCTTAGTGGTAATGACAGTCTTCTCTAACTTCTCTGGTATCTAACTGCACTCTTCATGCTGTATGAAATTTTCACATTTTCAAAATTTATAGCCAGCCCAAATGCCAATAACCAAAATGGTCAAGGAAATTGGTAAACCAGCTACTCCTTGGAAGGAAGGTTGGGCAATCTACTATAGTGATACCACCTTGGAAACCCAAGGGGGGGGTTGCTATGAGTTGGGTCTAACTCAGTGGCACATAACAACATAATAACAACAATAGAAACTTATACTTTTGATAACAGCACATTATGATAGTTATTTTCTCTACAAGGAAAAAATAAAACAAAATACAGAGTCATGTCTACAGTGATTGTAGTCATGTTTTTTCAGGAGTCTTTGTAAAATTCAAAATAACTTGGTACTTTTGACTGTGGATGGTGTCTGTATGTTTGATAGTAGATAAGGTATAAAAAGAGAAATAAGTCTTGTCAGTAATGGAATGAAAGTTTTGACTCTAAGAGTGCTAGAACAGTTGGCTTTTGTTTGAAGGAGAAAAAAAACTAATAATGAGTATTAGAAGATAAAATAAAAAAAAACTCTGTGTGTCAATACACTGATCTCCATAAAGATAGCAAGTGAAAGCTGAATGGGCGTTGGGTGATGCTGTGCCTCATGGATAATAAAATACCTAAATATGGGCAAAGGAGGTCCTGAGAAACTGAGAAAAATGTCATCTTTGTGCAAACCTCCAGGAAACACCTTGAGAAGCATTACCCAGATGCTTCCGTCATCTTCACAGAATTTT